ACCCCCGTGCTGTGCCCCGCAGTGCCTGCCCAGCACCCTGTGGTGTGCTGCCCCCCAGGGGGGCCCCAGCTGGGCCCCAAGCGCTCGGGCCGGGCCAGGAGTCTCCTGGGGAGCCAACGGAAGCGACGGAAGTCGGCGACTCCCGATCCGAAGGAGAAACAGACCTGTGGTGAGAGGAGACTGGAGAGCCTGAGATTTGGGGGGAAATCTGGGGGGGCACAGAGGACTGTTGAGCGTGTCACGGTGCCTTGTTCGGGATTCGGGGGAATCGGAGGGGGCACAGGGGAGTGCTGACCGTGTCACGGTGCCTCATTCTGGGGAGAAATGTGGAGTTCAGGGTGATGGTGTCACCCCCACAGTGCCACGAAAGGGACCCCAGAGAGAGGGGAGACCCCCAAAGCAGGAGGGACCCCAAGGAGAGGGAGGAGCTGCTGTTTGTGCCATGCTGGGTGTGTCGTGGTGCCACTCCTGGGGAGAGGAGGGCAGAGCTGGGCAGAGCAGGCGTGAGGTGCTCGTGTCAGGGTACCTTGGTGCCACTGGGCCCACCCTGACTCGGGGGTCCCTCCCTCCCTGTGCCAGACATTCGCCTGCGCGTGCGCGCCGAGTACTGCCAGCACGACACTGCCCTGCACGGCAACGTCTTCTCCAACAAGCAGGACCCTCTGGAGCGCCAGTTCGAGCGCTTCAACCAGGCCAACACCATCCTCAAGTCCCGGGATCTGGGCTCCATCATCTGCGACATCAAGTTCTCCGAGCTCACCTACCTCGACGCCTTCTGGCGGGATTACATCAACGGGTCCCTGCTGGAGGCCCTCAAGGGAGTGTTCATCACGGACTCGCTCAAACAGGCCGTGGGCCACGAGGCCATCAAGCTCCTGGTCAACGTGGACGAGGAGGATTACGAGGTCGGACGCCAGAAACTCCTCAGGAACTTGATGCTGCAAACAGCTCCCTGAGGGGTTGTTTTCCGGCTTTTCCCAGCGTTTCGTTCCATGGATTTTTTTCTTCGTCTTCTACTTCTTTGGTTTCTGGGTTGTTTTCTGGCGTTCGGGTGGTGACACGGGAGGGTTGGGGGTTGGAGGTGTGGGGAGAGCTGGAATGGGCCCTAATTCCTCACTTTTTCCCCTGTCGGCTCCTCCCTCTCCTTGTGTTTTCCATGGTTTTTCCTCTTTTCTTTTGTATCCATTAAAACTGGCAGAAAAAGGCACAAACGCCTTTGGTGCGACCTGAGGGATTTGGGGGTTGGAGATCCACTGGGACATTCCAGAGTTCCTCACTTTTCCTGTGCCAACTCTTCTCTTTCTCCTCCTCCTTGTGTGTTCATGCCTTTTCCCTCTTCTTTTCCCCCTCTTTTGCATCCATTAAAAATCACCAGGAGGTCAAACCCCCTCAGGGGCAGCTTTTGGGGCCCAAGGGGGCTCAGCCCTGAGACAGGTTTTGGGGTGATTTCCCCCCATTTATCCCCAGATTTAGTCCCTTCCCTGTTTTCCTCCCAGATTTAATCCCCACGGAAAAAAACCAGTTGCTTTCAACCCCAAAATGATGTTTTGCCCCAGAAATGGCTGGTTTGAACCTAAAGAACAGCCATGACACCCTCAAAATGACGACACCCCAGAAATGATCATTACACCCCCAGAATGGCAATTCTCAACCCAAACCCACCTGTTACCCTAAAATTGGCTGTTACTCCTAAAAAAATGCCTCTGGAGTAGGTTTTCCCCATTTTTGTGGGTTTTGCCCCCATTCCCACTCAGCTGTTTGGGGGTTCAGCCCCCCCTCTCTCCCATTTTGGGGTTCAGGTCACCCCCAAATCCTTCCCCTCCCCCCATGAGTTCAGCTACACTTTGGGCTCATTTCCTGCAATTTCTGTATCTTTAATTTCCACAGGAATTCCCTGTTGGCTCCTCCTTCCCCCAGGAACCCCAAAAATGGGGGGCACCCCCCGTTGTGTGGGGCTGAGGCTGTGGTGCTGCTGCTTTTTGGGGTGAAAGGGGCAGGTCTGGGGCAGATCTGTGCCCATTGTGGCTCTCAGGGCTCCTCCAGTGCCACCCCAAGGGGTCACAGAGGGGACCCCAAAGGGACCCCAAAAGAGAGAGGACTCAGTGTGGCCATGGTGTTACATTCTGGGGAGAACAGAGCTGATTTAGGGCTGATTTGTGCACCCTGCAGCTCTGGGGGTGCCTTAGGGGGCACCCCCCAAGGCAGTGCCCCAGCAGAGGGG